CTGATGGAAACCTAATAAAGGCCAAATTTTCACTGATTTTCACTGAGGTCTACTCAGTTTATGTGGATGTCTGCCTTGGTAAGAGGCAGACATATGAGTTGGGCTAAAATGAGTGCATTCAACCTTTGTATATGACACCCATTGCCAAAATATTTTTAACTTTTACATTGACAGCAGCATCCGTCCTTTCAAACTTAAAGTTTGACTGATGTGTTTTTTACCTGTCTGAAAACAGTCTGAATAAAGCGTGTAAAACAGATCAGTTGCTTAGGGCAGAAATAGGACTTAATTTTGGAAAGGCCTGCATTGCTGCCTACACAGATATGAGATTGAGGTACTGTTACATAGACAACTTCCTTCAAACTGTGTATTAGAGCTGTTAGACAAGTTCTAGTGTTCTTTCTGCTTTATCACAAATCTCCTGCCTATAGGTACTTCCCTTAAAACACTGAGGGAAAAAAAAGTATATATTTTCCTTATATGGAGGGAAGCTTGGAAACGAAACACTTAATGGCATAATGTGAGTGGAAAAAAGAGAAAAGGAGAGCTGTTAAGTTTCTTATCCTTCTTTATGGTTTTAAGCCAATCTGTCAATTTATGAATTTTTATTGTTTGGATTTGGCACTATTGCATCATAAGCTCTGTTATGAATGACTGCATGTTCTTTCTTTTGGACTGTAAACCTCCTTGGACAGGAACTATTGTTTACTATACTTTTATACTGCATCTTGCCCAATCTTTGGATCAGAGGTCTGTGGGTGACTGCACTCATCAAATAATAAGGGAAGGGCAATGACTTGTCATACTTTCCCTGGCAAAACCAGTCCTAACAGGTTGCCCATAAACTGTGGTTTGGGAATCATTGTTCCAAGCTCACTTGTTTAACATATTCCACACTTGTAGAGTAAGACTTATTTTCTCTTGACTATGCCAAGCATTTCAGGGCACAGTGGAGAATATTTATATAACCTTTTAATTCTCTTTTTTTTTTTTTTTAATTTTTATTTTATTTTTAGTATTAGTTTGCTTATTTATAGTTTCAAAAGACTAATGCAACTAGGTGCCTTCAAAATCCTTGCTTATTTTTGGTACTGCTTGTAGGCTTATTTGGGCAAATGGCTTCTCTTTTAGTCAATCACTCTTTTTGAGAAGATATAATCCAGATTGTATCTACCTGATACAGTAGTCTCTACCTGAGGGCTTTTAAATTAAAAGATCCTACTACTACATATATTCCCATGTGGCTTGAAATACTAGTAGAATATATAACTCATTCACCCACAATCACTACAAGACCAAGAAAAGAAAAATGAGCACGGAAGCACTAGCAAATTATGATACTGGCTGGCAGATCCAGGTCCTCAACGCTCAGAAGATGAGAAGACAACTGTTAGCTTGTGGTTAATTTCCAGGAGGAAATGACTAGCTGCTGATTTATACGTAAATATGGGATGTTATTAAAAAGACATGGGATGAATTAAAAAGACATGGGATGCACTACTGATCTTTTCAGTTTCTAATGATTTTAAAGAACAGGGTTGAGGATGCTTGGACAGCAGTTGCAGAAACTGTTTGCAGTTTGCTCCTTTAGTTTAATTTAATGTCAAGACGGAGACAGTACATAAGTCAAATAGTGAAACAAATGAGAAACTACATAAACAATTAAAGCAAGGATGGTTTTTTTTTTCATTATACCCATTCTAGGTTTAAAACTGGAGATTTAGTTTTTTCTTTTGACTTTTTATAGCAGTTTCAAAATTAAAGAAATTCTTTTGATTTAGGTGGGCTTTTTTCATTCAAAAGAAAACTTAATTATAAAATATAAAGTGTCATAATTCAGAAACCATATAAAAATAAAAAATGTGTCTCAATCTAAAAATATAGTTTAGTTTGAAAAGCAAAAGTTTAAAGTCAGATGCAAAGATGTCCCCAAATACTGTTGTATTTTGGTTTTAAAACTCTGGAAATATTTTTAATATTTTAATCTTTTATCAGGCTTTTAACATAAATATTGAGCAACTGCATAAAGCTTGAGTTCAGATAAATTACAGTAGTAAAACTTTGTAGGCATTATTTATTTCTGGTTAAGTTACTGTTATGTGGTTTTGTTAAAGACTACACTTCCTATAAAGGAACTTCACATAGTACCCAAGGTACATGTCACTTCGTCTTCATATTAGTTATGATATAATCTAGAATGGGTTTGGAGCATACAGATTTGGGATCAGAAAGTACTTGTTCTGTCTCTTAATCAAAAGCCTCTGGTCCTAAATGTGAAGTTCACCCCAATTTTGTTGGCAGTTGCTACTGTGACACAATAGAAACTATTCATTGTTTGGCTAGGAAAAATATTACTTTAACGAACCTGAGACAACCTTGGTTTAGCTTCAAAATATCACCTACAGTAGTTAGTTATGTAGTATAATAAAGAAGCAGACAGCTTTTATAAGTTCTATTTATGTCTTGGGTTGACTCCTAAGGTAGATCGTGGATGATTCCAGGATTATTGCTTGAAATAGTCCAAGCCAACAAAATAATATACTTCTAAAACACAGGCTTAACTAATGTTCTTCCATTTTGACATTGCAGCTATAAAGCAATTTGTCATAATGTAATTTGTTAAAGTAGTGCAGAAACTGAGGCCTGCTGTTAGTAATCAAAAGTAGTTTAATTTTGTAATGGCAGAAATGAAATTCTTTAGACTCTTCTTCTTGGAGCTTGTTATTTTGAATATATGCTATTTTTGGACACTGCAGAAAAATGCAAATTCATAATGTTCTAATTTGGCTGGAAATATGAACCCCAACAGATTAAACCACAAGATCATGCTACCAGCTTCTAAGATGCCAAACAGAAAAAAACACAGAGGTCTCTGTCTTTTGTGAACAATGATGAACACAGAGAACTTTTGATGTTTATTCTTCTGCACCCTAAAGAAACAACTGTCCAAAATAGTGCCATTGTGAAACGGTGCAACCCAGACAGAGGATTCAGCCTTACACCGACCTTTTCATCTTTCTTCAGCCCTGTATCAAATTCTCCCTACTGTTCTGCATTGAAGAGATTTAGAAAACACTTCTTTAATGGTGTTTAAAGCTCTTATTGCCAGATAAAGAACAAGAACTATTCATATGATTAAATATTTATGATGCATTCCTAGCAATGCCCCTCATATACATGCCCTACAAATCAATTACCTGCTCCAGAGTTACATTGCTTGGGAGCTTAATGCACAACACTGCACAGGAAATACAGAATCTTAATTTGTGAGTAAATAATCAAGCTATCCCTCTTCCTATGCTTATATATGTTTTTAATATATTTCCAAAAAAAAAAAAAAACTTAAAAAGAATATAAATTGTTGAGTGGCCTATTGATATACAGATTTTGTTAAGCACCAGGATTATTAAGCCAAACGCACGTGTTGACGAACTTTTATCATCTGCTACGTTTAAAAGACAACACTGTGCTCTTTACTAATCGCTTTCCAAAGTCTTTTAAAAAGGAACAGGGAAACCAGCGGCAAGGAGATGATATTTCTTAGAAAGTCAGTAGAGGGAGCCCCTCAATAGCGCAATCAATTTCCTATCCGAGCCCCTCAGTTGCTCCTTCCTGAAGTTACACATGAGGTTAAAAGGAGATGAAACGCGAGTATCGCCAGAATTAATCTTTCTTTAGCTGTGTTACGGAGGCTAACAAAAGATAATTAACAAAATTATAATTTTCTATAGTGGTTTATTTTTTTTTTGAGAACAAAGGAGACAATACCTAAGTTCTCGTGGCCTGCCTTCCCTACTCCTAAATTAATACAGAATGACCTCTCAAAGCTTCAGCATGAGTTTAAAGTGCCTTTCTGATACAATGCAGTGCAAGTTCAATTTTACTACAAAAGTGTCACACAAACATCTGTGACTTATCTATGTGTGAAGATAAAATGTGGGGGGTTGTCTAATGTGGGATAAGAAGAGCCAAGAAAGAAAACCATTTCTTTATAAGTAATTTTATAAGACAATGTCAGAATCAGCATATATATCAGCTCCAGTTTATAGTGCATAAAATGGATCTTCCAGCTATTTTTCCATACAGTTCTTTCTGAGAGCAGTTAACCCAGTAAAATTGGATGTGCTCCATGTTTTACCACTCAGTTTATTTTCTTCGAACATATGTGTTTACTTCTCAAACTGAAAAAAGTAATCTTGCCATTGTCTTTTGTAATCCGTATTTGGAATAATGCAAGATTGCTGACATTGCTAACAAACCACTGAGTTCACTGAGCAAAGGGGACTACTCTGACAACATTGCGTTGATAACACAGACCTTAGCAAGTACAGGTCTCATTAATTCTGTGGGAGCAGGACTAAAGGGGATAATCTTTTTCTTTGCATGGGTATTTTGAAAATCCTTTCCCTGTTGTGTACCAAAGCACTTAAGCAAATATGTAAAACTAAGCTTAAGTTAATTACTGATTATTTAAGTAAAGGTTAACTGATTTTGCTGACTAGCAATAGTCTTAGAGAAGGGGCTTGAAATCAGATCTGTGCTTTGCAGATTGAAGTCTAATGAGCGACTCAATGTTGAAAACTTTACTCAAGCATAAATTAATAAAACAAAACCCCAATTCCACTGTAGTCAATGGAAAAACTCCCTCTGGCTTAAAAAGAGTCAAGGCTTCTGACACTGGCCTCAGCAGGAGTTTTGCCTGAACAGAGCTATGCAAGGGACCCAGAAGTTTTTACAGGAGGGCTAATGTGAAAGAAAGCAGACACTTGTGCCTCTGAAATTTGTTGAGGTGCAAGATTTCTAACGTTGTTCAACACAAGCCTCTTCCTACTAATAAGAGAAGCACAAATATCAACTCGTCACCCCCATCTGGGAGAAATAAAACCATGCCGACAACTTTCTAATATTCCACCTCCAATATGGAGCTATTTTAGGACTCAGCCTTTGAAGGAAGTCCTTTTTTCACTCAGAAAAATAAATATAAATGATTTTCTCTTTACCTGCACTGGTGCCTGCACCGGTTGTGAGGTCTCCACCCATCAGGCCACCTAGGGGGTTGAAATGTAATACTACAAATGAGCATGATAAATTATAAAAGGCAAATATTCAAAACATTTTTTCTAACTTCAAAAAGCCCCTTCCACTACTCACTACTGTTTTCGTCTGACTTCAGCAGGCATCAGATCAGACCCATAATCATAAAATTGGAATGCTTTAAAGTTACTCATACAAGACGTTTGCCTTCCAAGGACAAACAAAATATGTAGCACACAACATTTCATTATTTTAATTTCATACTTCTACAGCATGTGAAAAAAATCAATTAGTATTTGAAAGGCATGTATAGTAGTCCTTCCTTTGAAAACTCTTTAGCTCAGTATTAGTCAGAAAAGCAAAGGTTTCCACATAGGATTGGGTGGAAGAGACTTGAAGGTTCCTGGAAGAGAACATGACTGAGAATCTGTAATATGTATTTACATAGCTTTTAATTTTAATTTCCTCAGTCTTTCATAGACATTCACTCTAAGGACTTTTAAAACTTCTCTTTGCACTTGGCGACCTCAAATTGTTCTTTGAACCCAGTATACTTAAGGATCTTGATGTTGCTTCAGCCAGACAGATTGAATGAATTTAATCCCCATCTGTCCTATTCAGAGGTGATCCCTCATCATCACCAGAGAAAAGCACAGTCTCTTGCTATACAAGGCACTTCAGTACAGATCTCAACCAACATTAACCCATCAAGGAACCTGTGAATGCTCAAATAGTAATAAATTCTGCATTTAGCCTCAAGACTGCTGATTTAAGGAACGAGTGTCCTATTTTACTTGCTTCAACTTGTTTGCATTGGCTACATTTTCTCCCTGTTAAGTTTTATGGTATAGTGAATTCGTGCATGAATTAAGTAGACAGGCTGCCATTTTATAAAACAGTCTGCCCTTTTATCCTTTATTGATTTCCTTTAATCTTAGTCAATATTCAGCTTTTTATATATATATTTTTTTTTTAATTTTCTAAATTGGGAATAGAAACCCCTTCAGCTCTTTTGATTTTTTTTCAACACAGCAATTTTGGACAAACTGTTATGACTGGTAAAAACAGAGCTCTTGTTTCTCAGAGCACAGTTATACAGTTTAAAATGACCTAAGGCAGACAAGCAGCTGATTAAAGCTCATTTAAAAGGATGGGATTAAACGCAGCCTACCTGTGTTACCTGCACTCGGAGGCCGATGTGTCACACCTGGAGACATGCTATTTCTTTGCAAAGAAGGATGAGCCAGTGGCAAAAGGTTGGGGTTTCCCAGCGAACTGACTGGGTTACTGTATACCAAGCTGTTGTGGTTGGACACTGGGATAGAAACTGGCATCTCAAAGTTTGGTGGTGGAACAGCCTGTATGAGCAAAAAAGGGAAACAAAGACGAGAATAGTACAGAAGCACAGCCTTCAAGTACAGTTTCTCTATATTTAGTTCAGATATTTTGTAGTTGGTGGTTAAAATACTTACACTTGCCCATTCACCCCCCTGCCATCAAAAGTCAAGAGAAAAGTTTCAAAAGAGTTACCAGGGCTTTTAAATATGATTCTTTCAAAACCTGATTCCATCTTCATGTAATGCATCTTCCACGTTCACTTTGTAGGAACTGGAAATATTTATTCTTTTTCTTCTTTAGTTTAAAACAAAATCTTGTTTTATGAAGCTTAATTTTCTTTTTCCTTAATTCTGTGAAGTTGCAATTGTTCACTTGTGATATCTTAATCTAGCATAACACATGAGAGCAAGATCAAAGGTACATGACTATGGTGACTTCATCACATGGAGAAAAATTAGAAGGCGTGGAATGCAAAAAGGAAAACTTTAATTTCAGCTTATGTTTCTTTAGCAACCAGAATGATCCCAAATCACATTAAAGGCATGAACATGGTAAGTTACATTTTTAAAAGTTTCTATTTTAGCTTGGATGGGCTTAAAAGAAAGTTCTACTCAGGAACAGGTAGCAAATGCAAGAATTGTAGATAGACACCAGTCTTGGGTTCTTTGTTGGGTCTTTTTGGTGTTTTGTTTTGTGTATAATTTAATCTATTTTTTGTTTGCTTAGGTTTGGAAGTTTTGTTTTGTTGTTGCTGTTTTTTTGAGGGCAGTGGTAGTGTTCAGTTACACTTCTTCAATATACTGCTTTCATACTTTAAGGCAGGATCCTTTCATGAGCCACTTTCCTTTGCAAGAATCTCTTTCAAAAAAGAACCAAGTTATGGACCATTCTGACAGAGGGTGTGATGAGACGCAGTACCTGATTCTCATTACAGTCTTAGAAATCCCAACTCAGGTTTTCTTGGTTGGTTGGGGTTTTCTTGGGTGGCAGTTGCCTGAATTTCTTTAAAATATATGACTCTGGTGGCACTGAAATAAATCAGACTCTAATCTACTTATTCTAAAAATATTTAAAAAATTATTATATTTTTTTAAATAATTGATGTATTGTTTTTGTGAATGGAAAGAAAACTTTTTCAGAATTACTTGACAGCATTTTGGGGTTGGACTAGACCTCTGAAGGCTCCTTCCAACCCAAACTATTCTATGATATGGTTCCATGATTTCAGACATTCAAATACCTCACTGCAAACAAAGTATCCCTTAATCTGACATTAAAAAATCTTGTAAGCTTCGAGTCTGAACCCATCAGAAAATTCTTAAAACCAGACATGTAACATCTTCAGTGGGAGGAAATCACAGGTTTTAATTTTGCTATTGGCAGCTGATAGCACTGGTGAGTCTTCCAGGAGCTAGAGGGAGGATGTTGAGAGCCAGACACATAATCTACTGTGTCAGGCAGCAGAGGCACCCTGACCTTGTGCCGCACACGTTTCTTCTCTGGCTGGCTAGAGCTGTTGGCTGTGCCCTGTGTATTTCAGCTCTGGCCATCCAATCACAGTTATCCTTTAAGGTTATTCTTCCCAGTCTTCTCCCCTTTCTAGGGGCAGACATAATTTTGCTCTAAATATAGAGGAATCATTTTGCTTAACCACTGAAACACACAGTAAGACTTTAGTTCAGGGCACGATGTGAAGGATACATTACACAAATGCCTTGGGACTTACTTGAAGGTGTTAATTTAGCTCTGAAACCCTTCACGTAGCCTTTGGCCTGGTGCTGTTAGAGGTGGCCATAGCATAATGGGTGAGAATCAGGTGTGGCACTAGAGATGATAGACCTGCTGGGTTTTGTATGGATCTGAAACATACTAATGTTCGTGCCTCAGAAACAGAAAAAAAAGAGAATAAATTATTTTGTGATGAAAAATATAATTGCTGAAGTGTGTTATTTATTTCTCTCAGGAGCACCCATGTGTTTTCATGTAGCTGTTCTTACAGTTCAAGTCCAGCTTGGTAGCTGCATGTGTGACTTCTCTTTATGGGAAAATTTACGAAGTGCATAACACAAGGAGTAATAGTGTATGTCACAACTGAGGTCAAGGATTCTTGGAAATAGGTTCACATATGAAATATTTGCTCAGTCTGAAGGTATCTTTTAAGCAAGACATTCTGTTCATTGTCCACAGAAGGACTCAAGAGGTTCCCAAATCCCTTGTAAATCAGAGGTGCCTGGCTGATCCTGAGCCCAAAGTCAGCAACTGCCTTTTCAAAAGGTTTTAGCCAGTGAATTCACATGAGGATAGATGTCTTAGCTCCACCTCCAGCCTGGTGGGAGACATGCATAAGCCAATACGGAGCCTCTTGTTGCAGTGTTCAGGGCTGTGGTGAAGATCTCTGTGCCTGGTGGATTTCAGCACATGATTCTGCCTGCTTGAGTGACAGCCCATGTCAGATTGTTACCCACTGGGGAGCATGCTGCTCAATATCTTCTTCACCTCTGTCATGCGATTTGTGATCTGAGCTTGGGTAGACACCAATACTGCCTGAATTTTCTTAATTTACTTCCCTAATCCCAATCTCTGTGGAGCTAAGCTAGAACACAAATGCCAGCCCTCACAGGCTTGTCTGCTTTCATCATTATGCTCTTTCTTACATGTACAAACCAAACCCTTGAAGGGCTGGAAACATTTTTTTCTATGTTAGTACAGTTCAAAAGAGCTCCAGCCTCAGTTGCTCTTGCGGCTGCCAGTCTCACTGATTATCACTGAAACATACAAACATTGCTGAAACAGTTTCTCAGATTTCATTTTAGAGGTTTAAAAATATATTTTTAAAATGAATTAAGTTATTTTCTTAATTTCTGTAGTAATGGTTCCATTTTCACAATTTTACCTACTGTTCAGATACACTTACATCTACTTACAGGGTACTTCATAGGCAATTTTATGAGGGTGAAGTCAGTTTATTCTCTGGCTTTGCAGCACAATGCACACTTCATCTGGAATATAGTAATTTTTATTTCTTCTCTTCAGGAGTGAAAGGTCAGAGACAGAAGTCTGGATAAGCACCAGTATTAAACAGTAAATGTCTAGCTACAGTGCTGCTTTGCCCAAATTTTGTGACAGACTTGCATGACTTTCACTAAGAACTGCAACCTCCTACAGACTCCCTAGTCATTCCTGGTGGAAAGTCACAGGGCATATCTATTCCAGCTGGGCCTGACAGACATTAAAGCTTATGATGCACTTGTGTAATATCTGTATTTGTAAATTAAACTTGCCTAGGGACTGAGGCCATCTGAGGCCACAAAGCAGTCAACATCCATACTATTAAGCTTTCTCAACCTCAAAACCATCATGACTACGTATAATCTGACAATTGGGAATTGTTCCTGGCCTGGGCTAACAACCAAACAGAGCTAAGACTGTTTAGGTTGTTTGGGAGAGCGTTACTTGGCCAGTGTCAAAAGCATACCAGGGACCGTTCAAACAATTCAGGGCAGGGATAAGTACCTCCCGCTGCCTTAGTACATTCTTTGCCATTTGCTAATTTACTAATATATATGAAGCCTTATCTTAATGTGCATGCTTCTTTTTCACATTTTGCTACTTTTTCTCTGTCTTTTCTCCTTTGGACACAATTGCCAAAGAGGGCAGATGGCTTACCTGAGAGGATACTGTCAGCGTACAGCACACACTGTGTTAGATGTGTGCTCCACAAGCTGTGGTATGTTGTGCAAAGCAAAGTGCTGGGGGACTGAACTCCTTGGAAATTAATTGACCAAACATTCTGTGTTAAATATTGTTTTTATCCCTCCCATGTTCAACCAGGCCTTCATTTATTTAGAGACAGAGATACTTACAGCTCCCTTCTAGTTGACTATTTCTGTCTCCTCTGCTTTCATCACTCTTACAAAAATTACAAATGAATGTCTAATTATTATCAGATGTTTTAGAACAATATAAATAGTTATCCCTAGAAAACTATCTGAAGAAACATTATTGGCCTTAGCTGTTAGGAGCAAAAGCCAATTTTGTTTTCATTTGGCAGCAGCTTTATTATGTTACAAGACCAGGCACAGGCATTGCATTGTTTTATATATTTTGTAAGAAGTGATTTAATGACTTGACTTGGTGACTTTTTGTTCAGTTTTGCTCCCCTTTCCTCCCACAACTTTTTTGGGAGCCTTTGATGATCACAAGTAAATGAATACAACTTCCCTGACTTCCCTCAAGTTATACTGATTTGTACAGTTGTGGATGTTATGGTATGCAAAGTAATATATAAAATGTATATGTAAAATTTCCATTATATTCTAGCTTTGAGCTCCATATTGGCCATTACATCTTGGCTTATGCCAAGGAAAGCAGCCTGTGTTGCATTAGGGGAGAACGTTTACTGATTCCCCCTTTTGCGGGAAGCAGCTTGATGGAGCATACGGACCTTGAGCTCTGTGTGAAGTATTCAGAGAAGGGATATCCTATCTTACATGAAAAGAAGCACTAATGTTTTGCAGTTCTGTATCTCTGAAGCGTCTCTGAAGTAATCATGCAAAAAGATAATACACTGTACCTTGTAACATCCCTGCAAGGTTGGAAGTCACTTTATACCCTAAATACAGCTCCGAACAACAAGTTCATCGCTATGTTAATAGCAGAAGTAGGACTACCTTTGAGGTCAAAATATTAAAATTAATAAAAGCTACCACAGGGAAACTCCATTAATTTTTGGGAGGACAAAAGTGATGTCCCATGTTTTTATTAACTGTGTTGTTTCTAATTCCTAGAACTTTCCTAGTTTTATAGAAAAGATGATTTTCCCAAATGCTTATGGAGGTAAAGAAAGTGATAGAACTCGCTATCACTGGAATGAGTTGTATTACAAGGTGGGGTTTTTTTTCCCTCTATGCATGTCTTAAGATTTCAAACGTTTATGACATCTGCTGCTTTGTTGGATCAAAAACAGGTAGCATGAGAAAACATAGAGGATCTGAAGGACCACCCCAAACACAGTTTTTAAGATGAAAAAATGGCTTTGTTTAAATACTATCTGATTGAAACAGTCTCTTTTCAATCAGAAGAGACGATTTCAATCAAAACAGATGAAAAAAAGGGAATAGTAATTGGTAAGATTTTGATATGACAAAGGGTTAAGCATTCCATCTTATAAGAGTCACCCTAAACGTTGCAGTCATCATTTGTCAAACTGAATTCCATCCTGAGAAAAACAACTATGCAAAATAAGCAATCAAAAAAGGAGGTAAGAAAGATGGAATATATATGCACTCCTCCCTGATATTTGGGCATCTTTAACCAGTCATTCCAAATACTGATTTATCAAGTTTGGTACCATTCTGGTCTCACATAAAATCTTTACTATTATATTAATTTTTTCAAAAGTACATTTGCCATGATGTGCGAACTTCTTCAAATTTTAATTAACTTTAGTGAAAATCTTTCTGCTCAGAATGAGTGGAAAAAACATTTACAGTGTATGAGACAGAATCTGAACATCCTTAAAAGGCATCCTCAACTTAGGTATCAGATTTTGTATGCACAATTGACTAGAACTATAGAAGAGAATTTGCTCATTCTGGGTATACAGAATCATTTTTGGCAGCTAGGAATACAGCCTGCATGTGGAACGAGGAATGAACACAGATCTCTTAGAAGGAAGCAGTTACCTCTGCAAATTATATAACCTCCAAACCTCCACACTCTTTTTGTTGGCTTTATAAATGTAGTATTCAACATAACGACAAAGTATTATCCCCTTGTATGTCTTGTGCAAACAGAATAGCACATGCGGAGTTATTTCTCTTAGATATCTGGCAAGGCATATGACTGATGGTTAGAAATTTTCAATTGGTTAAAAGAAAATTTAGCTCATGTTAAAGCATTAAAGAAATGCTGATGAGGTCAAGCAAATTCTCTGATAAAGCTGCAAAATCACCCCAACACACAAACATGTCTGAATCCTACCACTAGGCTCTCATGCGGTGTTTCTCTGCAGCGAGCAAGTAGCTGTAACCCTTCAGTGCTGCAACTGAGTTTAGCAGACACTTGAGAACTGAAGTGACACGCACAGAAAGCACTAATTACTATTTATAAGGAATTTCAGTTCTACATTGTTTTTTCTATATTACCACAGAAAGTATTCTGTGGGTTTGCTTGTTAGCCTGTCCACAAAGGAAGATTTCCATTGTTATTTTTTAAGTATAATTTGGGCAAGTGGTGTGGTAAAACAGTTCTGTAAATCAAGTGAATATAATGTATATATGCGTATTTCACTTCCTACTGCAGATTTCACCTATAATAGGCTTTGTCTGTATGTCAGAGGTATAATGTTGTGTGAAATTTTCTGACCACAGTGTTTAACTATATATTGGGCTATTAAAGCCTGTTTCCAGCTGAAATGTTTTTCTTAAGAATCCAGAACTGAAAGGGTTATGGTTTGTTACTGCAGCAGTTATCAGCAGACAGCCATCTAACCTTTGGTACTTACAGGTATTTTATGGCTCTTGATCATATTATCAAATTCTTCATTAATTTTTTTGTATTTTTCTTCAGTGCGTGGGGTGAGAGCGTAAGAGGAGTCAGGATCGGGGCTTTCACAACCTTTGTTTTCTTTCTTGTTCAATGCCTGCCAGGTTCAGAGAAATATCAGAAAGTAAAAAAAATGAAAGGGAGCTCAGAGTACTTACACATAATCTCTGTCTGCTGATCATTAGATCAATATCTTCATTAATTTTTCTGTACTTGTCCTCAGACTCAGGGCTGTGACCTACTGAATCATCTGCATCAGGGTCTGGGCTGTCACAGCCATTAAGTCCTTTCTTTCTCAAAGTCTGAAATACACAATTTGGAGAGTTCAATCCTTGACACAGACTGCAAGAAAGACTCAGCAGTGTTAAGTAACACAAACTCCCCAGCATTGGAAGGTTTTACATTACGCTTTAAGGAAAGTGATTAGAGATCCGCCATGCTGATGCTGTAGGTATCCAGTTCTGGTGGCAAGAGGAGACCACACAGACCTCTTTCTTCTGAAACGCATCAGTCAATAAAGAATGAAGCTGGCAATCTGGCAAAGTGCCTGTGCTAGTAGCCTCCCTGCTTCCCCACTTCCAATAGCATTAAGAGGCTAATATACCCACCCAGAATGCAATTTAACACATTTATATATTTGAAATGAATGAACATTAAAAGCAAAGGATGCATACCGTTCAAAGTGTAATATCCTGGTGTATTACTTTAAGGAAAGATGCAGGAGGAAGAAATGAGAAAAAAAAACAACACCTTCAACAATTTTAGGAATTCATTTTCTTCACAGAAGAAGGAGAAGTACCTAAACTGAATTAAAGGAATGACATTAGCAATGCCCTGCCATTCCTAAGTGTATGCTTTCAACAGGACAAGGGGGAGGACAGAGCTGCTAATGTGGCTGTGAAATACTGATTAAGAGCTTCTAGATATGGTGTTTACTTTTCACTGAATCCAGTTACAGTGCTACAAATGCACAGTGCTGAAGCTTAACGTACACAAAAGAGCACTGCTAAAATAGATGCTTAGTGAAAAGTCAAACCAGATGATTTTCAGGTTCAGCAGCTCAAATCAACCCTCAGAGCCATGATCATCATCATCATCAAGATAAGTAACACAGATAAAAAAGTTTAAAACGAGAATGAAATCAGTAGCTAACAACTGAGAATGGCTGCCCGGCCTCAGAGAGGCCAGAGATTTAACTGATCTATCTTGACAGATGACTGAAGAAGAGTCACAGTCTGCATTAAGAATATGAGAACCAAGTCTTTCTGGATTCCTCAAGCACAAGCAAGAGCTCACAAAGTCAGTATTTGTTAAGAGATTTCTCAAATTTAGCTCCAAGAATGTTTCAGTCAAGCCTCTTCAAAGAGTCCACTGGTCTCTCTACAACCTTCCTTAGCCAACTTGCAGTTAATTCCAAGTTAAAACCTGGCTAAGCATCTCAGTTACAACATTCAGATCACATAGCACTCTTGTGTTAGTAAGATGCAATGCTTGTGCTGTGTAGTAATGTGCGATGCTTTGACTGGTTTCTTTCTGCCTCTCATCTGAGCTGTTTTTTCCTTTTTGAAAACTATTTCCTAACTAGTTCCTTTCTGGCAATGCCCAATTTACCATCATGAAAGCCAGCAGGTATTATAATGTCATACCTCCTTTCTGTACGATTGTTTGCTAAAAATTGTACTTTGTCTTCTATATTTTACCTGAGACTTATAAGCAGAGCCAGCTTATTCCTGTAAAAGCTGTAAGCCTATTCTCTCTGCAGAGACATCCCCCTGAACCTCGCATTTTCACTAAGTCAGCAAAGTGATGGTGAGCTGTCCTTTGAGATCTGAGCCTTCCAGACTCATGTTGTGGACCTCTGAAGCAGATTTAGACAACTGTGGAAGGCTGACTCAATGTAGTCTTTTCAGACTTCATATCTATATAGACTTCATGAGCTACTACTGACACCATGACAAAATCATAAATCCACCATAAGCAAACTTGAAGAAGCTAAACAACCTTAATGATTCTCTATTCTTCTCCACCCTCCCTTACCCCCCTTTTATCTTTTAAATGTTAACTAGCAGAACAGACATAGTCATGTATGATTTCTGCTACTAGCTTGAAACGAACCAATTACAGAGGGCTTTTGCAGTCTGCTGCTGTTTGATATATTTGATACATACAATATATTAAAAGTGAAATTTCCCTTTTATATCTGAATAACTAATCTCAACTAATGTCCTTCCCTTCATGTAAGTACAAAACAGTTGTCCTCTGAATACATAAAATATTCTATTTAAAGACTCATTGGATCAAACTGCCCAGACTGAAACCCAGATCAGCACTCCTGAGACCTTTGCTTGGGCTCATCCGAGTCACTGATGGAGTTCTGTTGAGTCACGTAGTGTGGAATGATGCTGATGTGAGCAGGATTGGATGGCATCCTCAGCTCCAAGCTTGGAGATGACAGCCCAGCTTCTTTATTTACAAATGGTAATGACCTGTTTTTCTTCCCAGAGGTCAACACAGCTGCAACTGTATGAGCATAGCTGAGGGAAGGTAGCTGCACAATTGTAATGCTACCAGACAAAAAGCAATATGAAAAGGTAAGACGGGGGATATTTTGCAGCCTCTTTGAATCTTTTCTTCTCCCATAATCCCCAAATCCTTTTCTGCTGCATCTACAGGACCATGCCTGGGTGAAAGAAGATGCACCTTATCCTCAGCATAGTCACTATGTCTAAAGCCCTGCAACTCTCTATTTAGCACTCATGTGAAACAGTCACTTTTGTGGTTTGTAGAGGTTCAGAAATGCGCTGCCATCTTTCAGATATCCAGAGGAGGAAAGGAAATGTAAACCACTGAATGTCTTAACAGCAGTCTCCAAAATGAGGCCAGATTCCCTCCCAACATAACAATGTTTTTACTTTCATACATACGTATTTTCATGTCCTTAGAAAGCAGGCTGCTGCCACAACAGGCAGAGTAGAAACAATCTCTATTTTCCCCAGAAAACCCAAAGACCAAATTTAGTGAAATCATGTTGGAGTTCTGTCAAGAATTAACTGTAGGCCTGAAAAGTAGGGGCAAATCTTTCCCTTGTAAAACCCATCAGTCCAGTGTGTTTAGCTAGTGCCTTGGCTGACATGGCTAATTAAGCTTATTAATGCAGTGCTCCCCCCACAAGAAACTAACCAATCAACCAACCAACCAAAAGAATGTGCTTCAGGGGGTTGTGGTAAGGTTAAGCAACAGAAATTTCCCCACATGTGCTGCAGTCAGAGGCTCAGTTCTTAGCTTGTGTTGCTTAGAGTGCTGCAACTAATGCCTAGTTCTCCGTGAATTACATTTTGGGTTAAAGTGCAATATTCAGGGAAGCTTTCCTGAGGATGGGTCTCTTGGGGTTTCTCTTGCCCCCTCACCCATCCTTCTGCTGATTCTTTGTTGCATCTGCGTGTTAAGGGCTCATGTTGCTACGCTGTCTTCATCTGGGAGTGTTCCTTGGAGTAATTTCTGGTTCTGTTTTTCTACATGAGGGCATGTAATTTTCATGAAACTTGTCCTTGATTGTTATGCTGCAACATAACACAAGTTGGGACAGCACAACTGAGAGTGGTACTGACCAATATCTAACTGATCCATTCTTATTCAAAAACTCCCTGGACTCTGTCTGTTTTAACTCTTCTCCTTTACACTGTGTCACCACTTGAAAGCAGAGGCTGGTTCTGCACACTGGAATCATTAAGAAGACAGCATTTCTGCAGCCTAGAGTCTTTGACCTGGTCTTGCAGTGATTTAGAAATAATTTTCCTTACCATGTTAAGTTGTCATAGACTCTAGCAAAGCCTGGAAATTAGCCAGTCTTACTGCATCCTCCTGGAGATTAGTTAGTTTCCAAAGATTTAATGACTATTCAGGGAATTTTTAAAAGAATAAAATTACACATTTGTACAGTACACTGCATTCTAGAGAACCCCAAGCCAGATTTCACTTATTTTGAGAGAAAATAAGCCACTTTTGAACTACGGAAGCTCCACTTCTTCCAAGCATTTAAACAAGTAATTATATTGGACTCCAGTAAATGGAGTTGGTTAAATGAAAACAATCTTTGGCTGAAATCTTATATGCCAGCAATTCAGTCTAAATCCTGCTCTATAAACTTCAGAGGAGAAATGCTGACTTAGTGACACACTGGCTTGCTGTAAAATGAAGTATAAACAACTATTTACTTTCATTTCATGCAAAATTTATCATCACTACAAAAGCACAAGAGAAAATATGATAAAATCAGCTAGGCCTGATTTTATCAAGGTAGTGGAATCATCTTAATTTGAAGGATTTTGAGGAGGAAAGCCTTTCATTTTCCTAATCCAGTCTCTGACTCTGCAGTATTATTCTCTTGTTTTAGCATTTCTTTAACAGGAAGAGTGGCAAAGGTTAGAAATTATTCTTACGTTTTCCATCCTGTAATTTTAGTTTGCTCATCTTTGTAGAGAGGTATGTCTTTTTTTCCTTCCATCTTCTGTGGAACTGCTCCCCACAACACTCCAGGGCTTGAGAATCCACACATATTTGGGCTTGAAAATGTTCACAGTATGGCCACCAAATAAAAAAGACCAGGGTGGTCAACAAGGTCTCCAAAAGGTTCATACCAGCCCACTCTGTGTGTTCCATTTTGATATCCTCTGCAACAAAGACCTAACTATTTCAATCATTTGTGTTCACCATATGTTTGTTTGTGCAATGAAAAGTATGACCTCACTGGCTCCCCATCTGTAATCAAAATTTACAGTATGGAAACATTCAGAATTACAGGTCTACTTCTACAGATTCCCATATCAACATTAAGAAGCCACCGCAATGATGTCTAACTGATAACCCCACTAGTGACCGTGACAATCCACAGAGTTGTAATTTGGTAAATTATATTCCACTGTCAGAAGAGAGAAACCCCAAGTGCCCTCCATTTTCCACTATCACTTTCTTTCCTGTATCTGAATGGGATAAATCTTTCAGCCACAAATGAAAAATGCTTTGGTCTCTTCTTTGCTCACTGGAGCCACTATCTATGTGGCAAGGTAGACAATAGCCAATTACAAAGGAATGATATGCTGTTGTGTTTGGCTGCTTTATTATTTATAGCCATTCCAAATAACCCAGCTGAATTTATGGAGGTACACCTGAAAAAAGCAGAAAATATTTAGATGATGGGCCTGATATATTTAAGCATCAGTTATGCCCTCTGTGCAACAGGGACATTACAGTTCGGAGGTTTTGAGTGAAGACAACCTTCTTTTATGATGAAATTGCATGATAC